ACGTTGTCGAGATATTCGTCTTATATTCACTGCTACTTAATTCTGGCGTGAACAATAGATTTTTAATAATAAATTTTTGTTATATTTTACAACAGGAACTTTTTACGTTATAGCGATTTTGAATGTGAGTTTTTTAAAAAATTAGATTTTAATTAGAATTCATCTTTAAATATTCGTGAGTAGATTGTTCTTCATCAGGTTTAAAAGTAGGCGTATGTTTCTGAACTTTACACCCACTTGAAGTGCAATAAAGAAATATTTATTTCTACTAATCTATACAACATTTCAGTGATATGCTATCAACTGGGTTGTTGCTAGTAACATTTGTTATGTTTTATGACGTCAATCACCTTTTTGACGAAGCTTTTTGATAATGATTCACCTTTATGTACTTATGATCATAAAAGAGTCACTAACTTGCATAATTGATCATAGAAAACAATAAACATACATGTCCAGATTTTTTTTTCTATTTATTTTAAAATCTTATCTATCTTTGATTTCTTTTTTTTTGTACGATTCGTAAAAAGAATATTCTTTATCTCGCTTTATTCTGATTTAAATCAAAATAATGCTTTCAAGGACAAGCACTTGAAAATGAATGTTTGTTATATCCGTCAAAAAGTAATCAATCACATCGTGTATACCACAGCATAGCTTCTGAATAGTGAACAAAAACTAAGCCAATTATTACACGAATGTGTGCAATTCGGAACGCTGAAATTTACGTTGATCTTATTGTTTTTAGTCGCGTTTTCAAATTCTCAAACACTTTGATTATTTGATTATTGAAGTATTTGATTATAAGTCTATACTTTCATGCGATATTTTTGTATCCTTACTTTTAAAAATAATGTAATTATAAAATCGAATGATACAAATCATAATCATGATACCAAATTATCAGAAAATGATCAAACTATACTTTTCGAACTGAAACGTCAGATATCAATTGATGTCGATCAGCATGTAACAAAAATTTATGAAGAAAATTTTTTTGTCAATATATATTGCTGTCAGTTATAACCATTGTTTGGTCAATAACTAAAAAGTGTTCGGAATTTTGAAAACACATTAAAAATGAGATCAACATATTAATTAGCTTCATTTTTGTGCGTAATTAGAACATAACCGACTATTATTAGGTTTGTTATTATCGTGTTCTCTAATTTGTATCACACTATTCTGTTGATGAAATTATTTCGATTGTTTTTTAAACAATGAAACAAACATGTTGAACAATAATACTGATATTAAATGTACGTGACAAGATATAAAATGTTCTGCAAATGATCAAATACTTTCAAGAGCAACATATATGTATGTTAACAGATGCTTCCATACTTTATTATTAATATACTTTCAGTATACGTTCTATTAAAACGAAGGACATGATAAATGATATTTGAAATTAAATTAAAAATAAAATTAATTCATATGATTTTCAAGGTTCAGTTATATTGAAATGGCTATTTATTAATTTTAATGACTTGTTTAAAAAATTGTTGTTAATGTTGAATTTTCATGTATAAATAAATAAATAAAATATTTTTATTTTATAATCAATAAATTTCAAAATATATCAAGCGCTATTTTCTTAATATTTAATTTTCTTTTTTGTTTTCTTTTACAGAGAAAAAATAAATTATGCCAAAAGTTCGACGAAAACGGCTTAGTACAGCAAGAAATCGACTAAATCGCCCGAAGAAACTTTTAGCAAAGGCTACAACGGCTTCTGTATGTCAAAATCAAATTCCTATATTTGTCTTTTTATCCAAGAGGAAGTGATTAAAATATAAGCAGGAAAAAAATAAAATGATTTACTAAAAATTTTAATCACATATCACAGGTTTCATTTTCATAAAAAATATCATACTTTTTCATTTGTGATTTATTTTTATTCTTCACTAAGACACTGATGTCATGCATATTTGAATAAAAGTTATTTGCTTTACTTTGTATGATTTGTTCTTTAATCATCATTAAAGCTTGTTCTTTTGTTTCACTTCTTATTCTACTTGTAATTTCAATTTTGTTGACTTTAAATAGAATCAACAAATAAAAGCTGTTTATTTTGACCTTGTTGCTCAACCCAATGAATTGATTAAATCAAAATCGACAGGCAAATTTATTCAACTATCGAAACCACCAAGGAATTTAAAAGTGTCTGATGATTGGGATGTTAAAACAGGCGATGTACTTTCATGGAGTGAAGGTCGACCGACAGAAACGTTTTTGTAAGTTTTATTTTAAACAAAAGTTCCTTGTTTTTTTCATTTTCAATATAAAAATCGTTTTTTTTTTCTTTGTCATAGTGTTACATCAGAAGGAACACTTTTAAAGAATCCCGATACGTCTGGTTCAGGTTATTTAACAATACCACTTTCAATAACTTCTCAATTTTCAAATGCTGTCGATTATTTTTCTTCGGTTTTGGATTCTATTGGTTGTAATTATGTTTCATCGATTGAACTTGCACCAACAGATTCATTCTTTGAGAAAAATTTTTCGAAAGAACTTCCAGCATCGATCCAAAATCGAACTGATATATCATATTCATTTGATCCAAACGATAAAGTTCTCTATGTTACACTTGCATCAAATCCTAAACAATCTCAACATTTTCAATTAGAAACAACTAAAATAGATGATATTATTCAATGGATTTCAACAAGCAATGAAACAAAAGCTAAATTTATTGTTAAATATAATTTTGAAGGAAAAGAAACGTGCAGCAAAGTTCCTCGTGGTATTATCATGGGTTTACCAGGTGGATGGCAATGCGAACAACAAGGTTCCATGTTATTTGGTGAAAATAAAATACAAGGCGAATGGAAATGTGAAGGAACAGAGAAAACAAAAGAGAAAGCACGAAAAGCGATTGAAAAGCATTATAAAGGACTTGATGTTGAAATAAAATAATAAAATAATTTTTATTGTAGATTAGATAAAAAAAATAAATAAAAGAATTTTGTAAACATGGCTTTAACAAGTATAAATAATGAACAACCAGCTCGATATTTTGATTTAATTAACAAACCAGAAACATTAAAACAAAAAAGTGGTCTCTCAATAGATGATTCTGCATTGAAGGATTTTTCAGATCATCGAACTTCAATTCCAGCTAATTGGGATGTAAGTTTTGGTGACGTACTCAATTGGTCAAAAGAACGTCCAACAGAAGCCTATTTTGTTCTTGAAGATAGAACTTTATTAAAAAATCCTGATCGAAGTGGATCAGGTTATTTAACTATTCCATTTAATGTTACTAGTAAAATTATATTCTTTAGTTATAAACTTCTTATACGTTTTCATTTCTCTTAGAAAATACTCGAAATGTATTACTTAAATATCAACATGTTATTGAAAGTATTGGAAAAGATAATGTAACAACAATTGAAATGCATCCTGAAGATATATTTATTAAAGAGAATTGGGGTGAAGTACCGCATGAAATACTTTCATCTAATGCTCAATTTATATATGATCCAATTGAAGAAATTCTTTATGTTGATCTTCCTCATATATCAAAATCAAAAGCATTTAAATTAGGTTCAACAACGATGAACAATATTCTAATATGGTTTAGAAGGTAAAAAAAAAAACAAAAAGAAAAAAGTTGAAAAATTCCAATTGTTTTTTCTCTTTAATTTTTAAATTTTGTATTATAGTGCTATGGAAGATCAAGCTTCTTTCCGAATAAAATATAATTTTTCAGGTCCACAATTTCATAAATATCATGATATATATAAATTACATAATCGAAATTTTTCATTACCACAAACTTGGTCAGTAGAACCAGGTACAACAGATATTGGTCATGATCATTGTCATGGTGAATGGATTTTTCATGGTTAATTAAATGTTTTTTCAAAAAAAAAAAAAAAAAAAGTGATATTTATTTTAAATATTATTTTAGGCGATCGTCAACATTTGGATAAAGCCAAAAAAGGTATTCATGATTTTTATAACGATCTTCCTGTTACAATTGAAGACATACATGAAAAATAAATCTTTAATATCAGAATAATTCTTCATACAAAAGCAAAAATGAAAGATTATGGCTAACAATGTTTCTATAGTACTTACTCTCATTTTCTTTGTTCTGTTCATTTTTACGATTTTAACTGTTTTATTCACTTTTGCACACAAGTGTTTTTTTATTATTGAGTATTACTTAATGTGATAATAAATGATTACACACAAATACAAGATAATATTAAATTTTAATCAATTTATTTTAAAAAAATCTTTCATATTTTATAACAAAAAAATGATTAACAGTGAAAATAAAATAATTCTCTTCTTCAACATTTGAGATTTTGCATATTAACAGAGGCACGTGCGCAATTTTGTAAAGCAGTTAACGGAATAATTAAAGCCAATAATGAGATAAAATCATTTTGTCTGACATCACAATAATTAGTGATTTAAATTTCAATATTAAATTTAATCATCGATGAGGATTTCTATAAAGCAGCCTTTTACTTGTACTTGGTTGCACAATCGGTGGCGGTGTTGTTGGAGCATCGCATGATATTTCATCTAGACCTCTTGCATCGTCCACATCTCCGAAGTTAAACATGATTTCTCTATATATGCACCTTTCAACCGAAATTTTTAACTAATAAATATTTCTCTATGCACGATTTTTATACTTCTTCAAACACCTTCTTTCTGTTCTCTTCCTCTTACATAACAGCGTGTGACGTATATTGGAAAGTGTGGTACATAAAATATGACTTCTCTCGACAATGATTCAATACATTGTTGTCATCCAACATCACAACAGTGAATCAGATTTTCTCTTGAAATTATCCTTACTTACAGAGTATCATAGAGAAAAATAATCGTCCTCCAACGCGATCTATGGACAAAGAGGAAGAAAGATGCAATGTGGCAATGCTGTATATCATACCTGTTATTGCCTCATCACTTTTTCCTGTTGCACAACACATAAGCAATTCCAAAGCTTTAAATTTATTTTTCAAAAAAAAAAGTCAAAAAATTAAAGGAAAAATTTGATTTTTTGTTCGTTTTTCTTCATGTTGTTGTGGAAAATATAAATAATTATTAGTTGGATTTTGTAAATGACCTGTATTAACATGATGATGACAATGACAATGACAACATTCAAATGATGTTGGAACTGTATACCATGCAGTAACATCAAAATTTGATATATTCAATTGATCATTTGGAATTGAACTTAAATTAGATAAACTTAAATGAGAATTTGAATCATCTGAATGTATTCTTGTTGATTGAAATTGATGAAAATTTTCATTTGATGAACTTATTGATGATATATTTTTATCATATGAAATTCCTGAATCTTTTGAACAAGATAAAGACCATGAATGACATTCACTCAAATCGACCTAAACACATTTTAATCAAAGATTTATTGAAGAGATGGGAAAAAAAAACTCATACTTACATAATCACTTTTTCGTGATGATTGTTTTAATTCATATGAAATATATTCATAATCTTTTGGTTTTGATACAGAACAACAAGATGAGATTTCTAAATAGAAAAAGATAGTTGAAAATTTTCGATAGATATAAACAGATTAACTGACTTGGCTTAGGAGAAGTTTGTTTTTCTTGTGATGATGATGATCGAATAGTTTGAATAGCATGAGCAATTTTCTATGATGAAAATAATGTAAAGATAATTATTGTATTATGAAATTAATTCGTTTACTTGTCGTATAGTTTTTGACATTTTGTATTATGAATAAGGTTATTGATTCGATTGTAATATATATATATATAGGGATAAGCAATGAGTATCTGTTACGGAGATAAAAAAAAATAATCAAGTGTCAAGTGATTAGCTCTTTTGTTTTTTTGTGCTCATCGTTTTTTCTTTTCCATGGCTAACTTATCTCTTTTTAAACTAATTAGATACGTCTATATTGTCAAGTGTAATTAAATATTGATAATCTCTTTGAACGTCATCAAAAATAAGTTAAGTGATAAGTGAAAACTTAAGACTTCAATAAAG